CTGTAGCTTTGTGTCACACGGATTTACTTTTGACTTTAACTCTTTCTTCCCAAACAGGGTGGGAGCCTCTGCCTAAATGCATAAACTGTGTCAATGTGTTTTTTCTTTTTTTTTTTATTTTCCTAACACTTTGAAGGATTTTTTTTCCCCCTCTATTTAAATACTAAGGATTATTTTCCCATCCTTAAAAGATTTATTATCCTGTTTTTCTTTTTCTGCTCTGAGTATGTGTTTGACACATCTTCAGTTATTAGAACAGAAGCCTCACACTCTAGGAAACAGAAAATGTTTGCCTGCATTATGCTTCACGTTATAAATGGTTCTTGTTCTTTACCGTGCAAACAGGCTCCTTGAGTCATTGAGGACTGCGGTAAGCCATTTGCCAGTAAATCAGCATTTCCTACAGCAAACTTTCTGTGCTTTGTCAGCCATTACATCTAGGGAATAACATCTAAGAAAAAAAAAACCCAAACCAGGGATCAGTTATGGCTTGTATCTCTAAAAAATTCATACTGTCTTTGAACATAGGAACCAAACATCTGGGATTATTTGGGTAGTGTCCAGTACTAAAGATTAGAGAGGTAGAGCATAACATGCAAAACATCTGCCTTTTTGCTGCATTTCTGGTATTCACAATAAAATATACTGCCCAGTTACTGTTTTCCCTTCAGTTCTTGACTTTTGGGGAAGGTTCAGCTCCTAAAAGCAGCAGCTACAGAAAATTTCAGCTTTATTTTCAGGCTGTGATGGAATTTCAACATTGTTATCCCTAAGTACTTTAGAAAAAAAAAAGTTAAACATCCCTCTTCCTTATTATTATAGATCATGAGGAATACCTTAAATGTTAGAGGGGTTTTATTTGCTTTCTGGTTGTGACCTTTTGGGTGCAATTATATCCTGCTTTCCAATTTGTCTTCACCAATCAGATGTAGCAGCTCTTTTTATATTATTATTTAAATTTTTTTAATGGCAGCTGAAATATGTTGATTCCAACAACAGTTAATATTGAGAGACTTCCCGATTCCTCTGTTTTCACGGCAGTATTATGATTGTGGAATGTAAACCTTGAGTGCATTACTCATAGTTTTGAAAGGGGAAGGCTAGTGCTGGACGTAGCAAGGTGTGAAACCCCCAGAAAAGCAAAATGGGGAGAGTAAAGGCAGGGTCTGTCCGAAGCAGGAAGGATTCTGAAGTATTACTTTAAAGGTGGTTGTTTGTTTGGTTTTTTTTTATAAACAAATATTTTGAAAAGGTCCTATGGATGGAAACACCACCGGATGCAAAGGACTTGGAATGATGTTGGCTGCTGGCAGCCCATTTCTACCCGTGTCGCACATCTCTGTCAAACTAACGCCATGTGAGCAGCAGTTACTGTTCACGTTTCTTAAGGCCGAGACGTGGAGCAGTGTATGGACACTCCGAGCAAGCAGTGCTATTCATAAAAACATGGATTTGGGTGATTTTTAAGTTGTTCTGATATTTACTGGCCAACTTACCTTTTTGATCGAGTAGCTTGTCTGAGTTTGAGTTCCTGGATCAGTGTAGGGGGGTCCAGCCCTGCGCACCTTCATGTGTAACTGTTCCCAGCCTTGCTGGAGGCTGCCAGTGCCACAACCTCAGGTCTCAGGTTTGCAGCATAATTTCTATTGTCCCCTCTTCTTTCAGAGTATGCATTTTATAGAAAAGTGAGAGGCTTATAATGGTGAGAAAGGGTGATCTTTTGATTCAAAGGAGTTTGTTTTATAATAAAATATCCAAGCTTCCAAGCAGATCCTTGAGATGTTTGCTTGCTGCTTCAGCTTTCACGGCTGCAATGGAATGGTGGAAGGACAGAAATGCATGGTATCTGTACGTACAATTATGCTGAAGGTCTGCTTTCTGCCTTCATCCCACAGATCCTATTTAGTTTGTATTTTCTGTATAGAAAGAGTTTTTTTCTTTTGATTAAATTGACGGAAAAACTGAGTTTAAAAAATTTGGCTATTACACTTTTTTGACTCTTACTTGAAACAGGATTTTACCAGATTGTAAATTTGATTTTTTTTCTCATGTTTTTTATCATCAAATGAGCTTGTTTAGTTTGGTACCTGGTTTGGTATCAAATTAACTGTGATAGCAGATCGAATCTGAGCATTTCCTCCCATATTAGGTTCTTAAAGTCTGTTACCGTGGCATGGCAATCTGGTGCTGTCTGTGGTGTTGGTTGCCAGGACTGTTGCCAGGTTTCTGTGCCCTGCCAGGTAGCTCATGCCTGTGCTGAGCCTTATCACAAGCAAAGAGTATCACTCATAATCTGAATGGCTCAGACAGGGGTGGTACCAAGACCACAGATACAGCTCCTACTACACAGTAACGAGCTGGGTCTGCAGCCAGACTTCTGGTGAGCATCATGGACAGAAAGCTCTCCAGTTGGAGATTACTCTGTGTACGTGTTGCTGTGCTGCACAGACTCTGAGCACCTGGAAATTGTCTCTGTGCCAGTTGTTTGATACTGAAACTTTACCTTTTGGCTTAAAAGCTTTGTGATAAGGTGTGGCTTGCTTTGATGTTCAGGGTCTCTTGACAGAGAGAAACGTGCCTGATCTGTGAAGCTGGAGCTAGATGTATAGATTCAAACACCACTGAAACGTGAGATTTGGTTTGGTCTGTTTCTACTGCAGTTTATTAAAGCAAACATCTAAAGAAATCATGGCAAGATGGAGTTCATTAGCTCACAAAATGGAGTTGGACATGTTGACAAATATATTTGTGGTGTTTCAGTATGATTGCTCCATCTCTCTATTTGCAGGGCCTCACCTAATCTGAACCACAGCATGACTCCTTCCTAGGACTAGTCCCTTCTATCATCTCTCTCCCTCCTCTTAAATCCCTTCAATCAGCTTTCAGTAAAATAGAAAATAGGTTTATTACTTATTAAAAGTTTCATAATGGAGGCCTGGCTTATCTTCCCTACCTTCTGTCACTGACAAATTTGGCTCAAAACTGCCATATATTTGTCCAAAAATATAGATTGAGGCATTGTGGACTTTGTGCACTCAGTAACTTTACTCTGCAACCCTAACAATCCTGGGAAAAGCTTCTAAAATCCCAAATCAGCTAGGCAAGTAGTGGAAACAATCCCAACACCACAAGTTTGTAAGTTTTATAGATCACTATGGCAACTCAAAAATATTAAATGCGTGTGACTGATGTCATTTTTAATTTTTTATTATCTAGGTAAATCGAAGGTGGTAAATTTTCTCCATTTCAGCTGCAGAATTTGACGATGTTCATTTACAGCATAATAGTCACTATGTGATATTTCTGTGGTTGTGCTGAGGATTTTTCAGATCACTGCACAGTGTTAAGCTGGTGTATGGAAGTGATTTGAAATGCTCAAAATGAAATAAGGATCAGGTACTACATGTGTGCTAATAGGATCCTGGGCCAGGGTCATCAGCCCAGAACCTGGCTACACGTACGGCATCGCTGTGTCACAGCCCATCTAGGCAACCTCTCCTCTTCCACTAGTAATTAGATTCCACCATTTGCGTTTTTCACTGGGCAACTGAACTGTTGACAACCTTGGGTTCCTTACAGATTCCATCTACATCCCTGTACCTACCTTGAGCGTCCCCCGAATGCCAGCCTGTTCACGTTCTCACCTTCAGGTCACAGACGAAGTCATGCAAGTCGCAATCTTTTCAGACCACTGCCTGCAACAGACTCGGGAGTTTCTGTCTGTTACCTGCACTGTTCTCTTTGGCCAAGGTTAATATGTGTTCGCCATGCTAAAGCTAGTTGGCCTGCAACAACGACAGCTTCTTCACAGTGGTTCTGTTCCCTCACGCTTCCTGTAGTGCCTATTATTCCATTTGGTATAAACAATTCCTTAGTCAGGCATGGTACTTTCTAACTTCACCTTATTTCCTGTGAACTTCAGCATGTTATGGCTTATAAAGTGAGTATTAGGAAGGGAATAGCATGAGATCTGCCCCACCTCCAGACTGAGACAAAAAAGAAACCCAAACCAATTTCCTTAATGTGCAATAAGATCAAACATGCACTATGTGAACTTGTTAAACACATTTATTGAGTTCTTGACAGTAACCAAACACAGTGAATGACCATTATAAACAAGAAAATAGGCATTCGCTTTTACTTGGTCAGCTCCTGCTTTATCTGTAAAGAAAAGATATCCCTTTCCACCACCAATTTACAGGATTGAACTTGTTTGTCCCAATAACGGATTCAGCAGGGAAAATGGCAATTTTAAACTCAGATGTTTCAACTGCTTTCTGCTTCTGAGCCCAGCTCCTATTAATGTTGGACCATAAAGTGGAGTTAGTTATACTAGCTTGAAGTGTATTCCCAATTGCCATTAACTCACTTAAATTGGCTGCAAACAAATAAATGAAGTTAAAAAAAAAGAAAATAAAAAAGTAAAAAAAAAAAACCAACCCGAAAACAAAAACCCACAGATAATGCAGCCACAAGTAGTAGAGGCTTATTATCTCAGAAAGGAAAAAAAAAAAAAATCAAAGCAAGTTTACTAAATTAATTTGTTAAACACATTTATTGAGTTGTTATTAGTAACCAACACAACGTATGACCTGTTGTAAAACAAGAAACAGAAAATGGATCAATTCTGATTTTGGCAAATCCTACTACAGATATGTGACAAAGAGGGAAATATTTCAATTTCCTTTATATTCTGCAGTGATATATTTACAATACTTATCTCTCGAAGTCTGTCCCCTTTTTAATTAAATGAACAGAAAGATCATAACCTAGAAATAAGTTTCCCCTACAGTCTTCTTGTTCTGTCTTGTCAGTATCCGTTAATGATAGTGAAACAATGAGAGCTTTCCAAGGATTACTTGGCACACAGAACACAACTCCACTTTGATGCTGTACCGAGCCACCATTTTTCTTTCTTTTTATTTTTTTATTTTTTTTTAATTTGAGGGAGGGGGGAAAAGAGGAAGAATTTCGTATGTACAAATGCTGAAAAGTCTTTCTTTGTGATGCTAAATTAGTTCAGGAAAACCGTATCAAAATTGTAATCACATTTACTGTAATACTGTCTTTTTATTTTATTTTTTTTTTTTTAAATTATCACTGATCATATGAATGAATTTTTAGTTGTTTCCAACATGGCAGCTCTTTTCCTACAGCATGTTTGCACATGCTGTCGTGAACCCAAAGAGAGTGAGGTTGGGTGCATTCTAGATTATGTCAATTCACAGTAGTAGCATTCCACTGAGGTTATGGGTTCTGCCTGCTCTGTCTTTACTTACTTGAGGAGCCATTCATTTACTGAAAGGAAAGAGAAACAAAAGAAAACAATTATGCTTTAGTAAACTTCAAATATGAAACTGACTGGATTTAACACTGTGTTAGGCACGTAAACAAAATATCTTGAAAAAGCCAAGAGGTTCAGTTTCCTCCTTTTTCTGGAGAAGAGTTAAGTCTAAATGACTATTTCTTTGAAGTAGTGTAACTCAGTCATCAGCCTTGTTACTGAAAATGGACTTTCTTATCCACCTTTCATAGTACTCCTTCAGAACCATGATGTTATCGGTAAGAAGGCACTTTTACACCATTATTGCAGGTAGTATAAGTGTGTGTGCATAGGCTAAAAGATGCACAAGACACGTTACAGCTCTGTTGTGATCCCCCAGCTTGGGCAGCGTAAATCTCTACCGGGAGGTGGCTGGGCTGGTTCATTTGTTCAGTAATCATTGCGTAATACAGCACTTTCCCATTTGGGTGTTCGTTACGGTGGTGCACCTCCACAGTGAAATTTACTGTTTTGTTTGAGACCAGCTGTCATCAAGACTAACTCATCCCCCTTTTTCTTTTGAAGGTGGGTAGAACAGAGCAAAATGTACTTTGTAAGGTGAGAAGACTTTAAAATGAGGCTAGAAAACTGAAGGCCTGACCTACTGCTTTTTAAAAAAAATACTAGGTATCCCAGACTGGTTTTTGTCATGCTTTTCATGCATGTTTCTGGGCATGTTTCCTCATCTATTTCATATATGTATTGGCTTACTCATACCATTAGTCCCCCAGATCTGGAGTTTCATCTGGTTTTGTTTGTACGCTTTGTTACGCACTTGGGTTTCTCAAAGAAAAGAGCTTGGTGTAAGCATAGAAAGGATTATTCTGGAGGTAGAACGTACCTCTATACTGTAGTTTCTGTGCTCTATTGTTTGGGCAATCTTTTCCCTGTAAACTAAAGTTGATATTAGTTCGGATACATCGATTGTTGAGAGGCTGGACTGGTCTGAAATTGTCGCTCATGCTCAGAAATATCTGTGATGGCTGATTCTGGCTTAGCAGTCGTAAAGAATGCATCTATATAAAATACAAAACAAGGATTTTTAGTATTGGTCTTTCCTGTAAGTAAACAACACACAACACTCCTAAATAGACTACTTAATAAATGAAAGTTACAAAGAATTTCAGTGATTTGTAGTCAGAGATGAGTTGAAAGAATTAACTAGAGGTAAAACCATTCCTTTTGTGGTCCTCTGTTTCTGAGCCCCATTTTAAACAAAAGTAACTAGTTTTGTGTGAAGTAAATGAAAATGGTATGAAGTGTCCTTGGCTGGTCAGGAGAAAAATGGAATCCACAGTACTGGATGGCAGCAGCTGGTGCAGAGAAAATGAAATTGATGAATTAGAGCTCTTTTCCTAAATTTTGTAACTATTAGTGTAGCTTCCAGTTGAGAAGACACAGTTTGGGATGATGGAACTCAAGGACCAGGCATGGCCAGTCAGGATGGAAAGGATAACTGACAGAGTCATGCTGCTGAGGTTGTGAAATTAATGATGTTAAAAAGTGAAATCCTTCCTCCATTGCCAGGTCTGTCTTGACGCAGTCTGTGCTGTGTCTATGGAGTTCTTCTGGTAGACTCTGGCCTTCTTTTGAGATGATTTTATGGATCAGTAGAGAGAATTGCTGAATCATCCAGGATTTTCAGTGCACCCAGCAGTGGTTGGATGCAAACTACAGGCACACAGCAATGGTTCTTCTGATAACTATGTATGCTAAAAGTATGTTAATTGGTTCAAGTCAACTAAAAACTTTCAAACTTTGTATAGGAAACTGGAGAGAGAGAGAAAAAAAAAGGCGCTGCAATTTGTAAATGAGAAACCCTCAAAATATTTTGGTTTAAAAATATAAAAAGAAAATACTCTCCACATCAGTGTACAATTGAAGAGGTTTGGTTGTGGCATTTAATGCGTAAATGGGGAAATCCAGTAGCTGGGTTTTACATACTGAATATCTTTAACAGCTTCCAGGGAAAACTTGTGCATTTCTTTTTCAGTCTGAGTACACAGTGTAATTAGTAAGTGTTCCATGAAATCAATCTGTAGCACTAATAGTGGAGGATGTAACTAACCAGTAAAGCATGACAAGGACTAAGTATCATGAGATTTTTAACCCGTAGGTACTAGCATAGACTCCAGAATTATTGTAATCCTTGTTTTGTACGTTAATGTTGTAACTAAAAATGGTGCTTGTAGGACAATGTTCATCTCTCCTGCTTTAAAACGTTAGAACGTACAGTGTGTCTGCTTGTGCTCAGCTGTGCCATTCTCCCAAATTATCCATTTAGAAAAGAAACAAAATGCTTTCTCTGTGTCTAGACAAAATCGGACAGAAGGAATATCACAAAGATAAAACATCTCTCAGGCTTTTTAAAGTCCTCTTATTTACAGTGTTAATGTGATTTTAAATCCCAAAGTAACGTTTAGGGTTGCTTTATCTTTCCTTGTTTCATTCTGAGGCCAGATTGCTTCTGCTACATGCTTGGGACAGGCAGATGGTGGTTCAAGATTCCTTTGGGACTCCAGTATGCAAGAGAATAGGTTTCAGTTCAGCTCGCAGCTCTGTAGGCAACTCACTGATGGAAGCTCTGGAGGAGGCTGCAATTGGGGTTAAATTTGTTGTTTCTGCTGTTAGGCCTTGTGAGTCATACAGAAACGTAGTCTTTAGGACTTTTCCACTGGCGTGTTTCCTCAACAGCATAATTTTGACTATGCATTAATCGTGTTTTCTTCTGCGTATTTTATCCTGCTCCTTTCTAACAGGGGCTTCAACTTGTCAATCTGAATTTTCTGAAGATATTTGCATCATCTTATTCTATACCAGAAAGGACCAGCTAATTTTTTTCAATATTTTTATTCTGGAAAAAAAAAAACTTCAGTGCTTTTTCAAACTGTATGAAGGCAGAGATCCCTACAGCAAAAGGTTGAATCTAATTTTGTAAGTAAAGCTACAAATATATATGTTTAAAATATTCTTTTGTACCTATACTAGATCCAGTAATTTCAAAATAATTTTTACCTGCATCCTTGTTATATAGACAGGTTTGTTCATTATTATCCAGCTTGCTGTTTCATAGCAGGGTGGAATTGTCATTGACCCATCATATGTAATGAAACTAGACGTCTCTGGATAAAGTTCCTCAATATTAAGCCCCTGTAGTAAGTATGCATCATCTGGAGAATAAAGAAGGAAAACAATTGAGATAAAACAATAGCTTCACAAAAAAACAAACCAAGAAAATCCCTGACCCTTTTTATGTACAATCCTTATTCCAGAACATTGTCATCTGTTTTACTGAAATGTGAACATGCATTTCTGAATGCTCTAGCTGTTGGTACATGAATCCACTAATCCTGCTTGGGTTGGTTCTACTCTTGGATGCCCATGCTCAACTTCTGTGAGGTTAGCACAAGCATTCACAGTGAAACTCTGAATCATGTTTAAGAACCGGAGTTAAAAACTTCTTGAAGTCGCAGTTACCGATTCAGATCGGCAGCAGTCTTTGGAGAATGTTGACTTACCGTATTTTGGAGCTATTAACAATTTGTGTTCAACAAAGCCTTGGGAAGGCCAAGAGTGTTAAAACTTAATTTCCCTTCTACCACAGGAGGAAGTTAAGGTTAATGCATGATAATAAAGCTGCTCAATGAAGTCTGCTGGCCTTTCATGTGCACAGCGGGGGTGGATGCAGTGCAAGCTCACTCAGAATGCTAAAATCAGGGTGGAAACTATGCCAGAAAGCAGCTTACTGGGGTCCCTGCTTTTATGAGAAGTCTCCCTGGGAATTAATGAGGTATCCCTCTGTAGCAGAATTCACTCTCTGGACATGTGCCAAAATATAATGAGATATGGCTATATCTTTTAAAATTCATCAAAGTTCTTCAGCCTTTTCCATACTGTGGTGCATTATTTCCTTTGTGTAAGGTTGGCCCTACAATAGTTTTGGCAGTGCTGTCAAACTGGAGCTGAGATTTCCCTGCCAAATCTTAGGCTGTATGAATTCCTTAACAGGAAATACTCAAGGGTACACACACTTTACTTCTCATACGCTACTGCTAGTGTGTATCTCAGAGAAAGCTGGGCTGCTTATGAGCTGTAACGTTGTGAAATCCCTCTGCATGCTTTCACTTGCCTGTGGTGTGTTCAGTATGGCTCATTTGCAGAGTGAGTGCTAAAATGAGGGCAAGGAAGGGTGCATATTCACGTGTGTTTCCCCTTTCGATACACGAGAGAAACTGGTATTGATTTTAAAGAAAGGCAAGGAAGACAGTACAATTAGAACAGTATAATTAAGGCAGAAATGCTTAGACTAAAGAAAAATGTCGAAAGTGCATATTTAAGTCAGTGTCAGTAATTTAGGAATTTCTGTTGGATTCTCAGTTGTTTTTCATGTAGCATTTGCTGTAAGTTTAAACAGGTTTTGGGTTTGTGGAGTTATTTTGTGTTGTGGTTTGGTGGTGTGGTTTTGTTTTTTTTTAAACTGATAAACGGTTCCTTGGCTATCAGGAAAAGATTGTAAATGGAAAGAAGGAGAGAAATATGAACAATTAAAGAAGCATTTAAGAACTAAAAAAGAAAAGAGTAATTTAACTTGAACTTAACATATTATAGCTGAAGGACAAAGCTTAGATGAGCAAAATACTTGTCTCATACCATCTAAAGTGAAAAAAAAAGAAAAAAAAGACTCTGCAGACTACTATTTGGGGCAACAGAAAATCAAAGAACACACGCAAAGCAAATGTGACCTTTTTTTATTTTGACACAGTGCAGTCAACATGCTACAGGCTTCTGGCGTAGCAATATTAGTGGCTACAGCATCATGTTGGGAACTGATGCTCCAGCATCAGTTAAAGTGTCAAGGTGAGAGTTTAACATTTATACCACATTGACCGGTGCCTTACAGTTATTTCATATTTTAAATGTTTGTGTTATTTTATAAAATATAATCTCGGCATGTCCTTTCAAGTTTGTCAGGAATACAGCTTTCTGCCATGTTGTACTTGGAGCCAGGGTAATTGCCATGCCATATAGCTGGATCCTCTAGTAGCGGGGAAAGTACTGTTCGTGTCTTGTAGGTGGCTGAATGTCACCTTTTTTAACTCGCTCAGTATTTGCTGGCCCATGGCCTGGGATACAGTGTCTTTCTAAACCCAAAATTTTCCAGACGAAAGTGCAAACCCACTGCTATAGTATTAGAGTGAAAATGCCTTTAAAATTTAACAGCTAGAGATGACTGAATACACCTGTGTCCTATTCATTAAAAACATTATTTGCGGTGCAGCAGTAATTTTGCTAGAATTACATGAGAAGAGAATGAATGCATTTTTTTCAAGCCAGTGCCTGTTTTCAATGAGTCATCACACATTTTTCCCTCTCCCACATGAACAGCCTGTTCATTATTTATGAACCATGGAGAGTGGTGTGTTAGCTCCAAATGGCATGGAGTCAGTCAGAATAGATAGTTTCAAGCTCTAAGGACCAAATCTGCTTTGTCACATCCATATTGAATTCGGTTGGGCTAAAATGATTTAAACAATGTAGAATTTGCCCTGAAATGTTTACACGGAGATGGAAAGCTAAGAAAAGATTAATACAGATGAGGGATATTTACGAGATACGTATATATATATATATTATATATATATTGTGAGCAACATTCTACTTTACTAATTTGTATTCAGAACAGTGAATGGATTATTAACAATAGGGCTACTTATGAAATGGAAGATACAGAAACAGATTTACTGCTGGCATTGGTGCAGGTAGTCATGGGGATTTTGGATTTGCCTCACACTGCTTTAATAGAGAATGTAATTAATTATTTTGATACTGCCTTCTAACTTTGTCTGTGGATTTACAGTGTTTAGTCATTCTCAGGATGCAGTAATGCTCCAGGGGTGGAATATGGCATGTACGGTGTGGGAGCAGTGCGGGGCACGGCCCTACTCACTCAGTAGTAGTAGTGTAGTAGTGAGTGCCACACTCACTGATGTGTGGCAGTGCTCTCAAGACCAGGAGGGATGCTCTCAGCCTTCCGGAGCTTTGTATCAACTGCCTAGGTTACCTTGTTTGCATTCTGAGGACCTACAAAATGCATGGCCATCTGCCCCGCTAGCACCCAGCAGTCAAGCGGCTCCAAACCTGGCTCATTCCCTCTGTCTTCACTTGGAATATGTTTTAGGAGAGAAAGCAAATTATGCTGTCAAAATTCATCAGTTGTGATAAATGGGAAACTGAAGGAAAACATCACTTCAGGAAAAGAGGAAGACGGGGTGAATGAAATAAGAGTTTGGCCAAGTAAAAACAGTATTTATTCATGCCTGTGTATGGGTTACATTCCCATGTGGATGGGATGACTCCATGAGAATGGCCTGAGACTATGGAGTAAGCATTTGGTTATCAACATTTTCCCTATGAACAGCTCTACTGTTTCCCTTTCCCCACATCTTGATAATCAAGTTTTGGATTCAAGAATCAGAACTCTTGTCTTTGCACTAATAGTAGACTACAGCACTTTAATGTCTTCTGCTTATTGCAAGTATGAAGTTCAAAACTGCCATAAATCACCATGTGTGATCTCTTGCCAGTAATAAACTTCCTTTAATAAACTCGTTCAGCCTTTACCAGATTGTCACCATCATTCCTATCCACAGCCCACATACTGTTTATCTTGATCAGCATGTGCCTTAGGGTGATATCTGAACTCAGGAACTCTTTCTCTACAAATTAGATTTCATTAGCTTTCATATTCATTTACAAAAGGCCTTGACTTTGACAATTTTCTTAGCAAATGGTGGAAATCCTTTTCTTTTATCTCTAGATTTGTAATAACACTTACAGGGTCTGCTTTCACAGCAGATACTCTGTATGGTTCTCCTCAAAACAATAGTTTTTATAGGGAATTATATAATTTATTGAATGAAGGAAGGTCCATTTGATTTTGAAATTCATATAATGATAATCCAAAAAGGGAAAGTACAGCTCTAATTAGATTATATGTACAGGATAAGGAATGTAGAGATCCTCAGCTGCTTAACCCAAAAGAGTTTGTTTATTTACCAGCCTTCACAAGTCACTTAGAGCGAGGCTGACAGAGACTAATTTTGAATACCTGAGCTTAATCTCTTGGGGTCTGGTTTGAGAGTGCTGAGCCTTTACTGCTTGTGACAGTGGCTGCAAGAGCTCGGTCCTTCAGAGAATGCACTGAAACACGAATTTGGAGAAATTACTAGTGTCTTATTTCTAGAAATCTGAATGTTAAAGTTTTTCAGGATAATGCCTTAAGTGAATAAAGTCTTCTGATTTTGTGCATTGTCTTTAAAATAGCTAAAGATTGAGTTTAAGGAAATTCAGAATTTTACAGCTTTTCTGCCTCAGTGGAACGTATGGCAGTACTTTGGTGGAGAACGACAGGTCCAAATTTTCATACGGAATTTTGGGGGTCTAAAATGTAGCTAATGTAGCATAGCTGTTCTGAAGGAAAGCTAATTTATGCCCTTGAATGTCGTACTTAAAGAGGAATATTAAAGCAGTTTTTCTTTAGAGATATTCACCTAGCTTCTGACTAAAGCCTGTTTGAAAGAACACTTGTTTCAACTAGTTCACAGCAGACTCTTTGGGCTGTGATAACAGAATAAAATAAGCATTTAAAATCTGCTTAAAAATTCCTTGGGGTCCACTTTGCTTCACTGTAGCTGTTAATATCTAAGAGTAGTAATTCCCCTTTTAATGCATTTTGCTCACGGAAATTTCATGCAGAAGCATAGTTGGCTCTTAATTTTGTTGTTGTTCCTTAAAAAAAGTACTTATGTTACTAACTGTCCAGACGGTGAACCTAAACCTATGCTCCACTTTTCATTCGATGCATGCTCCTGTGGAGCACACTGGGACTGGTCATTTTGTCAGCCGCCTGTTGAGTATTGACTTCAGGAGTGGAACCCTAAAGCACGAGCTAAAAAACTCCAGCTGCTAAAGGCAGAATAGAAATCTTCACAGTGTAAGAGGTAAAATTAGTTTTCAGCAATGATGCTATAATCCATCACGCAAGACAACTCCAAAATTACTTTCAATAACACTTTCACGTTCCCAATTTACACTAAAAAATTCCCAGTCAATGCTTGTTACTACAGTGAGTAACCCAATGCCCTGCAGAATATTATGTGCATTGTATCTACTAAGGATTTTATTTTAACAAACTTGTTAGTGATGAGTGGTTAAAAATTAAAACAGTTACGTTAATCATTGATTTTGCAGTCTATGTTATGTGTTAATCTTCATGCAAAATTTCATTTAGTAAACCCAAATTAGGTGTGATTGCCTTCTAAAGAAGAAAAACAATCAATGGAAGGTGGCAGGATGCTGGCAACTCCAGAGAGGAGGAGTGCCCACAGACAAATGCAGCGTACAAACGAAATCTTTTGCATTGGGAAGGTGTGCTTGCCTGCCGGTGTGGGTGACGGTTGCATGTGCACTCAGGCAAGAAGGGAAGGATGCTGCCAGCGCCCTCCTGCCCTGTGGAGCTGTACATCCCTAATGATAGCCTTTGTTCTGCACACCACAGGTTGTCCAGCCTTTGTAGCCTGTGAGGCCAAGGAGGACAAAAACGGCTGTGACACTCATGTAAATGTGTGAGAGACAGCTGCTGTGATGGGGAAACTGAGGCAGAAGTCTTCCCTTATTCAGGGTGTGAGACCTGACAGGGCTGTGTGTGCGTACATGGGAAAAGCAGCTTCCTCGGTGGTACGGTCAGAGGTCCCCTGGCTGGTTCCTAGACAGAAGCCAGGAATATGTAATTAGGCAGCAAAAGAGCCTGCAAAAGCACGTACAACCTTAACAACAATTTCCCATCACCGGGTGTTGCAGCAGGACTGGGAGGCAGGAAGCTCTTACAGAACCATATTGCTGTGTTTTTGCAAGGAATCAAGGCAGGCAGTTCAAAAACTGGGCTGATCTCCTGCTTCTCCATTGAGAGGAGCCAACTTTTCATACTGATAGAACAGTCTGGAAAAACGTCCTGAGAGACAACCCTCTGTCGCCTTCCCTTCTCTATGTATCATGGCAAATGGAGTTTATCATGACAGAGGCCTCTGATTTGGACCAAAGAAGTAACAAGATTTGTTAAATGGTGAAGTAAAATTAGAGAAACACCAGTGGGAAGAAAGGTGGGTGTTATGGAGAGGACAAGGAGCTCTCTACTTCGGAATGGGTTGGATTAGTTCCGTTGTTCAAATTCTGCATTGTATGGCAAGACTCAAAATCTTCCTAGTGCTCTCTTGTTCAGCTATTAGTGGGTAAAATTCTGTGTATTCCTATTACACCGATCTCAAACTTACAATTTTCCTTTTTACAATCCTGGCTCTGCAGGGAGGGGCAAAAGGTGGAGTCTAGGGAGAGAGATCAGAATCTGTGCTTTAGGGACATGTGTAGAAATCTCTCCAAACCTTTCCATCATAAACCTGCAGTTCAGTGACTTTTGCTGAAGTTAAATGGACATTTGAGATCTCTGGAGTTTCAGATGCAAAGTTTTCCAGGTAACACTGTGTTGTTGTAGAGTATATTTAATTTAGGGAGAGGTAAATTGAGGCAAACCCTAACAGAACTGTGAACCAAATCCTGGAGTCCTGACCAGCAGTCTCGCTGCAGTTAACATGGACAACTGTCTCCAAGCTTTCGTAAACAAACACAAAATCAATGGTTTATGAAAAATGTTGTTGTTTACAGAATAACAAACAAAGGCTGAGTTTTATAATACTTTCCTTATTTTTTCAGTTTGCTGTGTACTTTCTGAAAGTTAAACTCTGGTATCATTTAACTTATTTTATTAATTTAATGGCTTCTTGGAATTCAAGTGAATACTTGACAAAGGAAATTAAGTTTTCAGGAGAAGAGATTTAATTTATTCCATTGAGATATATATTTTTCATGACTTTCTCCAAACTAGGCTAATTTTCACTGACATTTAAGCTCCAGTTTTCCCCAAGTTCATGATATTAACATGGAATTACTGACCATTAACTGTTAAAGTCTTTCTAAATGTGAATACAACAAATATACATGCTATGTCAATGACCTCTTTATATAGCCATTAGATGCAGCAGAAGTTGAATAGAAATGCCATAACTTCTTCTGTACAAAATGAAAGCATTAATGAATACTAAATCCACAGTTAATGATGCAGCATCATGACATAACTTGATTTGATATAATCTAAGCTGCTCTGCATGTTACTTTTATTGCAAACAGTAGGCAGTTTCTTCTGAGTATGTGGTGTGAGTACTGTATATGTATTTCTAAGTATAATTTCATTAATTTATTGCTTGTTCAAACATAAAAGAGACTTTGAAGTTCAAAATTCACTTGATGAACTGATGACTTTACTAGATTTTCCAGGTTCCCAAGTTTATCATGCAGAGTTGCTGGCAATGTAAACTTTGTAATTTTTGCCCATAACGAAGCGCCTCTTCTTTCAGTGGATTGCTAAAGACATCATTTGACACTAAAAGCATGCAGCTGCTAGCCATAGTAGATGAAAAGAAACTTACTTTTATATGTTATTCTCGTTATGGTGTCTCTGTTAAGCATACGATTTAGAAATGGATTTGATGATTCAGATACCTACAGAAAAGAAAGTGTACAGTGTCAGAATCTTCTCACAAACATTTCCTTTCTGGAAATGTAGCTGTTCTCTCTGCACATGCAGGTGCACACATACACACATCCCTTTGCCCAGAGATGTTTGGGATGCCCCATCCCTGGAAGTGTCCAAGGCCAGGCTGGATGAGGCTTGGAGCAACCTGGTCTAGTGGAGGGGGTCCCTGCCCGTGGTGGGGGGGGGGACTAGGTGATCTTTAAGGTCCCTTCTAACACAAACCATTCTACGATTCTATGATTTTCTCTCTCCTGATACTCTCATATTGTTTCTGCCTTTTTTCCCCACTGTTGTGGGAAGAGAAAATAATCACTTAGATATTTTTCTAACAAAACTTTTTAGAGAGTTGGTATTTACAAATAAATAAAAGAAAAACCCCAAGGATGGGAGAAAAGGATGAACAGAAATTAATGCCTGAATACAAAAATGATAGCTTAGAGGCATTGTGGTGTTAGGGTTTTTTTGGGGGAGGAGTGAGTGGGGTTGGTGTAGGTACTTTATCAACAACATCATTCTGGATTATCAACAATAACTTAACGAGAGATTTTATTGATCTGCAAATGGCAAAATTATTATTGGTTAACAAGAAAATCAGTGTCACATTATTTTATGGAGTAATTCTAGTAATTCCATAGCTAGCCTTTGAATATCCTACTTATCTTTCAATTACTCTGCAATGTGTTTTTTAGCAGACCCTGGATGCTGCTGTTATGGGTCTAGCATTTATCCAGAATGAAATCAATTTATTTTGAAAACAGAATACTTCACAAAAACTTTAAGATTTAGGAAAATAAATGGGCTATTGGACAAACTGTAATCCAGCTCTTTTTGATGGGCAGCCTTAAGGAAAATTCAGTTCAGGTTTAATTTTATGGAAATTCAGATAGTTACTTCTCCATTTAAAAGTATTTCTAACTAATTTGGACATTTAAAAAAGAGCCCATCTTTTCATGCCAGTGAGAGAGGCCCAGAGAAAAATATGGTAAGGCAGATAGTAAATTTTGTTGCTCATTACAAAAGGTGTGCAAGTCTCAAGGTGATGCATTATTTAGACAAAATTGGCATGCTGGGCATTTTGAAGGCTTGCACCAATTTTATCCTTTTGTGCAAATTCAAGTTAGATCACTGGGTCATAATGCAATATCCTTTGGATGAAAAAAGGTAAACTAAATATCTGTCTTAAATATTAGACTTGTATAAAAGGTCAATTTGTATATTTCATTATTCTATGCTCTGTGAAATGCATGTTTTAATTCTGAAGTTAGTGCTTTGTCAGGAACTTTATGAAACGGGATTAGAGAGAACTAAAGGGAATTAATAGATATTTAATATGTGAATTCTGATGATGTAAGCTATTTTATTTCAGCACAAAGCACTTATTCAGAAATACATGCTTTTTTAGACCAATAAAACAGAGAAACATAATGGCAGAATATGAACAACATTTTTTTGGGAAATGCATTCTTCATATAAACTGAGAGAATAGGTTTCTCCAGTGTAATTAGGGAGGTTGGAGTAAACTACTAAGTCGTGAGTTCAGTGCGAGATCACTCCAATTTAGAGACCTAATTATGCATCTTGAACGCAACAGGATGGAGACTAAAATACGACAAAATATTCATGTGTCTTTCTGCCTGTATGAAATGGAAGATACTGAGTTATACTTCAAATGTTCTTTCAGTTTTGATACCTTAAGATGTTTTAAATAACATTGAGAAAAACATCTTTTGCTGACTGAGATATCCGCATGTCTCCAAGGAGCAAACATGCCTTCTATTTACTTAATTGTATGAATAACATTTCATGAAGAAATTCCAAATTCACAATATTAGTAACTTTTGGCATAGCCATTATGACATAAGGGTTCACACCTACCCCAGCCCCCACCCCCCCGCCTTTTCCCTTTTCATTTTCCTTACATTACGTTGTAAATACTTTGGAGTAGGGATTGTGTGTTCGGCTCCAAGGATGATGCTGTCCCTGGATTCCAGATCAGAGCCTCTAGGCCTTGCTGTAGTATAAGGAGGAGTCTAATTCCTAGATTTACAGCTCATGGGGAAAAAAGTCCTTTGTCTCTATATATTAGGCGTTGATAATGCTGAATACTTACTTTCATAAATATGGAAACTACCACCAACCCGTTAGGACTCTTTGCAGCTTCTGTGACATTTGTGTAGAGCTCATGGTTATAATGGATTAGTTGAACCTAGAAAAGTGGGAAGGGAAAGATTACAATTAAACAGGAGCAAATCATACCATACACTGTTTGCAAACTCTCTCTCTACACCAATTGGGTTGTATTAGGATCCCATCTATGCTTAGGGTATTTTGTAAGAGTGCAATTCTTCAGACGTTTGCGGCACACATCATTTTAATAATTTCAGTCACCATCTGGCTCCAACTGGCACAGCACCAGCATGTTTTCTTCTAAATTGCCAGTAAGTGAATTTACCCACATCAGGTTATGAATTGCACTGCAGGGGTTGACATCATTTCCCTGCTGCAACAGCACTTGCCATGGGCATCAAGTAATCCGTACTTTTCAGCCTCAAGCCAAACACAGAAGAGTCAGGGTTGAAATACATGAAGAAACATATGGGATACAGGTTTGGAACTGTTTAAACCAGCACTCACAAAATTCAAAATCCTAATATTCATTGGTCCTAGATTTTCCAAACTTGGTTACAAAAGCTCCTACAGCTAGGCACTTAGTGTATTACTGTTAACCAGGTTTTCCTTAGCTCCTACAGCTTTTCTTCTGCTTTATAGTTTTATGATCTGCTGGAACTTTTAGATTACTAAAGCACAGTTCATCATTATCCCTGCATACGTAAATGTCTCACCCAGAACAACGGTATTTGATTTGTCTGGGATCACTGGACACTCTTACAACTTATACTGCAGTGTGTAGCCTCACTTTTTAAAAAAGATTAACAACTTTAATGAACTCATGGGGTAGTTGAATACTTCTAAGAATTTGAAAGTCTACTCAGCTTTACTTAGCCTAAAGATATCTTTCTTAGTTTTCAGGTGTCAATTAGAAAAGTAAGGTCACTGTTCTGGCATTTTCAGATTTGCAGCAGCCTGATGTTTGTATTTAAAAATCAGGTGTGTCTTCCACGTACTGGCATAAATTTAAAGGTGTCCACTGGAATTACTGGGCTTACATCTTGTGAACAGGATCAGTATGAACTTGGTCTATATCTGTTAGTCTTTTTAATGACAAGTGGCCAAACACTAATACTGCCAGTAAAAAAATGTCCTCATAGTGTGCTTTCCATGTTTATAACCAGGAAAACCAAAATAACCCACCGCAAAACCACTGAAATGGGGTTTAATGCCTGCCTTGGTGACTTTGTCCTTTGGAAGAATGCAACGTCTGGTGCTTCAGTGGTGAAATGTAACTGCAAGGATTTCTCTGTAAGAATGACCCTCCTACACGATCTGCAGAGCACAATCAAGTTACAAAACCAAAGGCTTTGCCATCCAAATATGCATGTTCACCAACATCTATACCAGTAGTGATCTGAATTATAACAGCATCCCAATTTATGTGTAACCCACACCATTATTATCTCTGTCTGTGATGAGTTTGGAAATAAATGATGTGTCCAAACTCAGAGAGTTTCCAGACAGTTCTATTTCCTTCCCTCTGCCCTGAGTGCAAAATGTATTCTTATAAGTAAATAATTCAGAATCAGGTCTTGTGATCTTTCCTAATACAAAAATCCACCAAGTATTGTCCCCCAATCCTCCCTAAATTCCATAGTGATGCTGTTTCAGTGCTTGGACATTGATGTAAAAAGGGGTAATGGAATTTCTGAAAGAGACTATTTGCATTAGTACAATTAGATGACCTTTGGCATATAGCTTTACTCTTTACAGCAGAACAAAAAAAAAAATAAGGTAAGGGTCAAAATTACTGCTATAATGTGTTAATTTCAGTTACTTCTGTCTTGTCTGGATTGGGAACTATGGGCTGACCTTTTAACAGTTCACACAGTAGGCACTTTTTAAGGTAAGCAAACAAACCAAACTGGAACGAAAAAGTAAAAATGTCAAAGTAGCCAATGAAGTCATCTACTAAATTCTGACAGCTAGAAAGCAAGGTGAATGTACTATGTTTGCTAAAGGTCTTGTAAAGAATTAATGACAGCATTTACTCTGCAGCACATAGAGGTTATAGGCTCATTAGTCATCACTTTGTGGTACTACTGAACTCGGATAACATCATGGTTTTGAGGACTCTGCACTCACTGAAATTTTTAGGCTTAACAATATATTTTTCTTTTTATGTGCAACTATTCACTCTGGCAGCCAAACTAACTTGTGAGTTATCAAGGAAATAAGTGATGAAATCTCTTTTAGACTAGAATTTCTTCTGTACAAAGTTCTAGAATAACAATGAACTAGAGTAATTTAGTTTATCTTACAAACCAAAATGTCCATTGCAGGAATGTGTAAACGTAAGGACCAAATTCTCCTTCCACCCATGGAAGCCCTGAGTCAGTGTCAAACTGTGGGACTTAAAACTCCTGAAGTATATATGATCACATGTAGGATATTTGTCCCAGACTTTCTGCAGGAAGCCTGCTGTCCAGTGCAGTTCTAGTCTTGCATCACACGTTACATTGCAATGAGTGATATGGGTCCCAGCCCATGTCCCATCTCTGCTGGAGACCTCTCTTATGTCAGAAAGAGAGACAATTCACTCTGCAAACTCACACCCAGACTGCAGGCAGTAAGTAGGAGTTTGTGGGAATGAGCTAACAGACTTGAACGGATCAGAAATTAGAATAGTTATTTCCTTTGCTGATCTACAATGATCTCTCCACACCATATTGTGCTGTCTTTACAATGAAAATACTCATCTGAGGGCTTTGGCATTCTTTACACGTGCTTTCAGGTGGTTTTCATTTCAAGCTTCCCATTCCTGCAGGTTTGTACGCCTCTGCCCCATTCCGCCTCTCCTTATCACATCTCGGTTTGCTAACGAACAGTTTTGGAGAGTGTGCTTGAGAAATCCTGCTTCACTATAGTTTAAAAAGATACCCTTGCTAAGCATTACTGTTTCTCAAAGATCCCAGTGCTGAATGAAGACAAGAGTCTCTTTCTTCCAAAACCTGGCACTTTCTCTGTGTTAGTTATATCCTTCCTCCCTGCACCCAAATTAATTTTAAAGCTGTTTCCATGGCACCATGGTTAAATTCATTAGGTTTCAGGGTTTTTTTAAAAAAAGATTGACCATGTAAGGAGACATAATTTTCAAAGTTTCTCATATGGAACGGACTAATTTAGAAAGGTACAAACGAATAAAGATGTCGTAGATATAGATTATTACATGCAGGATAAAAAATATAATTTCCTATTAAATTCCTTCTTTTGAGAATAATTTATTTCAAGTTGCCTGAAATGCCTCTAATGTTACAGCCTGTATTAGATATTACTAGAGTCTCCCATGAAGGTGAAGCCACACATAACTAAAATTGCTCATATGTGAAAATCTCCCTTTTTCAAATGATGACATTGTATTAAAACCAAAGCACAACAAGAGCAAACTTGCAATGCTGAATGTACCCTTTCATTCTAGTTTGAGTTTCAGGGCTCAAACACAATACATGAATCTTCTTAGAAGCTATTGATTTTCTTTGGAAGATTCCCCCTTTAAGATTAATTTGCCACAGAACAACTGATAGTGCTTTGTTTTCCTTGAGCTATAGAACTTCTATTTTTCAGGGAGAGGAGGAGAATTAAGATTAATTACCTCCTTTTAGCCATTGAACATCCAGAATGTGCCCTTGTTCCATCACCCAAGAATGCGCATTGGACCAGGATCAGACACAGCACTTCTTAGAGACCTGAGGCTGGCGATGTTGGGAGTGTCAGCAGGAGCTGAAGATGGAATGCTAGGGGTAATCTACTGAGTACACTCTCCTCAGCCTGGTAGGCTGTATCTTTAGGGCAAAATAATATAGACAGGCTTATATTATGGCTCATATTCTGCCTACTGTGGGGAAAGCATCTAATTCCCTTTCCCAACACAAGCGGCTGTGTGTTTAGAATGGCAATAACCCGTTCTTGGTCCGTACTTTGATAAAGTTCAGCCTTGTACTCATAGTACTCATATTGTTTGTACTGGTTTTCCTCCCTAGTGCATTTTTCTCTTTTTATTGATCCTTCACCCAGCTGAAATGTGCACCTTTGGGCACAGCTAGTAGCATATTTTCTGTATGGCCTCTGACCAAGGCTCTTAGGCTAAGCAAACGGAGGTAGTTTGCTGTGTTGATGGTTGTGGATGCCAAAAATTCCAGGGACTCTTTTTAGCAATCTTTTAGTAATTTTATTAAACTTGGACAAAGACCCTCTGTGAATTACAGAGCCCTGATCTAGTGTGTGTGCATAGCCCTTTTATAAATGTTAAACGACTGTGAGATGTTCTGCTGCAGTGAGACACAGAGAAATGTGAAACTGAGGGAATTTAGAGTATCACAGTACTATACACACAAATGTTTCCATAGTCCTCTTGGGAGAAATGGAATACCCTTTATTCTCACTTGTGTTATAATTGAGTGCATAAACTTTTTGATTTGTAAATGACAAGGGATCTAAACCATCAAGTGAATGGCAGCAGGGAAGAGCTGATCTGTAACTATAATATTTGCATTATGCTCTGCTACCTGATAAACTGTTGGGATACCTGATTGAGAGCAAGCACAAAGCATGTTTTTGGCACAGCAGGGAACAAAAGCAAATAAAATTGCTAAGAATGCCAGGAAGAAACTCTCTTTTCTCCGGCTTCTGAGCAGACAACTGTATAAAAGCATGTGCAGAGAAATGCAGTAATGCATCATGCAGTAAAGTGGAAATGCAGTCAAGGGTTAACTATACTTGGCTGCAAACTCTACTAGAAATAATTATATGCTGGGAAATAGCACTCCAACTGCAAATGATGTCTAACGCTTCGTTAGACCAGTTGGTAACAGGAACTAGCAATACCTCAGCTCAACAAATGTTGTTCAGCAGTGAGCTCTACCCAGGGTTCCCTGATAAGTAGTTGACACCATGTGCTATATTCAGCATATATTATGATTTTTTTTTTTTTTTAAAGAAAGGATTGCCTGCTTGAGGTTTAAAGTAGTATTTCTAGATGCACACATAGAAATGAAAGATGAGTGTCTTAAGCTTTTTGGGGCATCTGTTCTAAAA